GGCAAAAGATTCTTCCCTTGGGGCTTCTAGGGTTGATCCAAAACCTCCATTTGTTCATGAGAACGGGGTTTTGTGTCATAACCAAAACAGAGAACTGTTTCCAGTCATGCCAGAACATTTAAAAGTGTTATTTACACAATACAATCATGAAAGTTTAGGTCATATTGGACAGCAGAAACTGTTAGAGGTAAGTTTTATTGGGATAACATGGAAAACACTGTACAACACGTAGTACAATCATGTTTGATATGTGCAAAAATAAATTCTAGACCTAAAGGACAAAACCCACCTATACAACGTATTGCCCCTGCAAACGATCCTTGGTCTACTTTACAAATGTATTTCATTGGGCTATTACCAATAGGTAAGAATGGATAAAAGTATCCGTTGGTAGAGGTGGATGTAGTCTCTAAATGGTTGGAAGTAATTCCATTAACAAAAGATGATTTACAAAGGACAGCTGAAGTATTATGGACACACATTTCCTCAAGATGGGGATTTCCTAGATAGACTTCTAGAGTGAGACAGAGGGAAAGTCATGCAAGCACTGTGTGCTATTCTAGGCATAGAGCAAAGATTCCATGTTCCCTATCATCCACAGTCTGATGGGATTGTGGAACGTATGAATCGAACATTGAAATCTAGGCTTTCAAAAAGGTTACTTGAGAAAGGCAACACATGGTTACAGGCACTTCCTGCTGTACTTATGGGTATTAGAGGCACTGTGTCTCCATTTGAATTAATGACAGGCATGAAAATGCAGTTGAATTTTCCTAATGAACCATATTTGTCTACCCCACAGAAAGATGCAATTGCTAAAAATAAATGGTTGCAAATGCTACTGGAAAATTTGGAGCAAATCCTTCCACATGCAGATACTCGTATGTGCAAAATGGAACCTCCTGACTTTTCAAAGTTTTTAAAGGGGGGTATGGTCATGAATTTTTTTTTAGGAAAACTGGACCTTGGGAGGCAAACTGCGAAGGTCCTTACAAAATACCAGATACAATGAGACAAACAATGGTACAAGTACAAAGACCTCTTGATGGATCACGGAATAAAAGGAGGCAAAATTGTTTTTGGGTTCATGCAGATCAGTGCAAATTGTATAAAACTACAACATAATTTGATAATATATTGATACTGCTTTGTTTTTCTTTGTAAGCAGACCTACAGAGGAAAGTTGGCTAGTGACAGAAGATGTGTTCGCAAACACAACCGTGCAGCAGAAATAAATTGTTTGTCAGCATCTTGCTAACACTGATGACTACAGTTCTTGTAGTAGTTATATTTAAGATGAACAAAATGATTTTTAATCAGGAATTAAAGATTATTTTAGAAATTACAATATCCTGATTTTATTTATTATAAGAAAATTACTGAATTACTTTATTATAAGAAAAACTTGAGCAGGTAGAGCTTTCTAGTTGTCTACATTTTGCATCCAAATTAAGTACAAACACACTTGCTAAATCAACTGTAGGATCTGCAATTGTAAATATTTTATTTCATCCATTTATTATTGTTATATGTGTATCTATCATATGTATTGTTTTACAAGTAGTTATACAATGTAGAATTCGAAAACTGTATACACTTGTAAAGGAAAAGATTAAACAGAAGCAGAATACACTAAAGGAAACTGTAAACCGAGTAATACACCATACATCCAAGGAATCTCACATACCGGGTAGCTATGAACACATCTCTTCTTATACACAATGATTGTGATATGAATGTGATACGAATGATATATGAATGGATAGGTAAATAACATTTTGTTATGGTTTATAGATAAACCATAAAGAGAGGGAAATGTAGAATATTACATATTATATATGTTCCTATTCAAATACATATTAAGGTGTGGCTGTCTAATGAGTTAAAAAGAACAGATGGTGTTTGCTATTCTGTACCATGAGGACACTGGAATAGGCTGTATAGGGAGACTGGGGGTAGGGCCGTTAGTCTCCTTATATGGGCATGTGTGTGACAATGAGCTTGTCTGTAGTGAGCTTGTGTGTATGTTAGCGAGTTTGTCTGTAGTGAGCATGTGTGTTTCAGTGAGTTTGTAGTGAACATATGTGTGTCAGTGAGCCTGTCTCGTGAGCATGTGTGTCAGTGAGCTTTTCTGCAGTGAGCATGTGTGTGTGTCAGCTAGCTTTTCTGTAGTAAGCATGTGTGTGGTGAGCATATGTATAAGTGTCAGTGAGTTTGTCTGTAGGGAGCATGTGTGTGTGTCATCATGAGCTTGTCTGTAGAGAACCTCTGTATGTGTCTGAGTTTGTAGTGAGCATGTGTATGTGTGTCAGTGAGCTTGTGTGTGTCAGTGAGCTTATGTGTAAGTGAGCTTGTGTGTGTCAGCTAGCTTTTCTGTAGTCAACATATGTGTGTCAGTGAGCGTGTGGTTAGTGAGCCTGTGTATTTGTGTCAGTGAGCTTGTCTGTAAGTAAGCTTGTGTTTTCCAGTGAGCTTTTCTGTAATGAGCATGTGTGTGTGACAATGAACTTGTCTGTAGTGAGCTTGTGTGTATGTTAGCAAGTTTGTCTGTAGTGAGCATGTGTGTGTCAATGAGTTTGTAGTGAGCTTGTGTGTGTCAATGAGTTTGTCTGTAGTGAGCATGTGTTTCAGTGAGCTTTTCTGCAGTGAGTATGTGTGTGTGTCATCTAGCTTTTCTGTAGTATACATGTGTGTGGTGAGCATGTGTATATGTGTCAGTGAGTTTGTAGAGAGCATGTGTGTGTCAGTAAACTTGCCTGTAGTGAGCATATGTGTATCAGTGAGCTTGTCTATAGTGAGTGTGTATGTGACAGTAAGCTTGTATGTAGTAAGTTTGTGTTTGTATACTAATGAGTTTGTCTGTAGTAACCTTGCATGAGTTTATACTAAGTTTGTGTGTGTGTATCAGTAAGCTTGCCTGTGTGTGTCAGTGAGATTATCTCTCAGTGAGCCTATTTTTGTGTATCAGTGAGCTTGTTTTTTTATGTCAATGAGCTTATGTATATCAATGAGATTGACTGTCTGTGAGACTGTGTTTCAATGAGCTTGTGTGCCTGTGTCAATGAGATTGTCTGTGTCTGCATGTGAGTAAGCTTACTGTATAATTATATAGTTTACACTGACAGAACCAATATTTTGAATTATAAAAAGAAACATACCAAATATATATTAGGCTATTAGGCTGTTTAGGCGGCCACCTAAGTCCCTGCACTGGCTGGGGCCTCGCGGCCGCCTAAACCAATTGTGGGCAGTCTGTGTCAGGTCCTCGGTCAGTGACCGAGGACCTGACACCAGGAGGGTGCCCGGCGGCTTGCCTGGTATGCCGCCGGGTGGCTGCCCGGCCACCATCGCAGTGTGCAGAGCTGCAGACCATGTGTATCACGAGACCTGGCCAATCAGAGCGCTGCTGCGGGTTACCACGGCAACGCTCTGACATCTCGTGAGATTACATGGTCTGCAGCTCTGCGGAGCTGCAGACCGAAAGCAATGACCACCGGACCACCAGGGAGGTAAGGTAAGCTCTCTCACCCTCACCACTCAACCTCACCACCCCCTTCACCCTCAGCCTCACCACACCCAGCCTCACTACCCCCTTCAGCCTCACCACCCTCAGCCTCACCACCACCATCACCCTCAGCCTCACCACCCCCACCACCCTCAGCCTCACCAACCCCTTCACCCTCAGCCTCACCACCCC